CTCTCTATCATTCAAGATGTAGCATTTGCATCCAAACACATGAAAGTAAGAGAGATCAGATTTCTTACCTTTCCACAACTCATAGGGAGTTTGAAGGGTACCTTTTTTGAGATAAACTCTATTGGAAATGCGACACGCCGTGTTGATAGCTTTAGCCCAAAGTCTTGTAAGAATTTTTTGGCGCTAAGCATCACCCTGACCATTTCTTGAAGCATTCTATTTTTCCTCTTCACAACACCATTTTGTTAAGGTGTTTTTGGTGCTGAAAATTCACGGAATAGCCCCTGCAATTCAAAAAAATCGGCAAAATCAGCATTCTCAAATTCCTTTCCATGGTCACTTATAATTCTCACAATCTTTGTATCCTTAGAAATCTTCTCAACAAGCAACCTTTTAGCTAATTTTTGAAATGCACTGAAAGAATCAGATTTCTCACGCAAGAAGTCAACCCAAGCATACCTTGAAAAATCATCAACACATACAAACACATATCTCTTACCTCTCAAACTCTCGGTTTGCATAGAACCCATTAGATCCATATGGAACAATTCCAAAACATATGAGGTATTGAGATTTGATAAAACTTTATGAGATATTATGGTTTGCTAACCTTGTTGACATAGATCACACACATTAACTTTTGCAGGTTCAAGTTTTGGTAGTCCTTTAACCGCTTCCTTTTTTTAGAGTCTTACCAAGTCCTTGAAGTTTATGTGACCAAGTTTCTCATGCCACAAGTTTGTGGAATCTGTTTTTGAACTGAAACATGACACACAGTTAGAAAGCAAGTAACAATTGTTATTTGACATTTTTCCCTCAAGTAGAAACACACCTTTACCATTCAAAAATTGACAATTGTCCTTTAAGAATTGAACCACAAAATTTTTGTCATGAATTTTACTAATACTAATCAAATTAGCTTTCAAACCATCAACAAGTAAGACATCTTTCAAGATAGGAAAATCAAAAAGCACAATTGACCATTTGCTAAGAATTTTACCTTTTTTTCCATCTCCATAAGTGACATGCCCATTATCAACCGATTCAAGTTCAGTCAAAAGAGATTTATTACCTGTCATATGCCTTGAACAACCACTATCTAAATACAAAAGATCATTTTGAAATGCAAGCAAGGAAGTATGAGACACAAAACATTTCACATCAACCTTCAGTTTCCAAACTCTTTTGGAAGAAAAACCATTGTTAGCATTATGATTTACATTAGCAACAAAATTATGGTTTTTAAGAACTTTCTTCAAATAAGCAATAAAACTGAAGCATTTGGGTCTAATGTGACGTTTCCTATTACAAAAATGGAAAATAGGAATGAATTTTGATACCTTCATAGCCTGTTTCACAATAGTACTTGAAACTGAAGTTTTGGTGGCCTTCCCGAACGTGCTTACACCAACTTTCGATGTGCTAGCACCAGGACTGAAGCCCAAATCATATTGATCTCCGAATGATTTTCCTTGACCAAGGACTTCATCAAGCTTAAGAGAACTTGCATTATCAATGATGACCTTAGCCTCGATTAGTTCTACAGTAAGAACAACAATCTTTTCGGACAAGGTTTTCTTTTGCTTCAACAAAGTAGCATTCTCAATACCAAGAAATTGCAACTTTTTCATACCCTTTAGCCATTGATCATACATTTTATCATATGTCTCTTGTTGCTCAGCATAAATATCAACAGTGTCATTTGAAACCTCACTCTTACCATCTTCTTGGTTCATGGTGAAAGCAAGAACATTTTCATCATCACCTGAATCATCATGCTCACTCTCACTCAAAGTGGTAGCCATGGCCTTACTTTTCTTCTTTTTCAGTGTGTCAACACACTGTAATTGTATGTGCCCAAAGGCCTCACATTCAAAACACTTGATACATTTAGTTTTCTTTTCTTTATCTTTTAAAATTTTCTTTGTAAAGGTACCAAGGGTTTGATGGTCATAAGACTTTTTCATAAAAGGTTTTCAGCCATAACTACTATCATAAGGCTTTTTCACGTTTTTCTTAAGAAACTTAGCAAAATTCTTGGTAAGTAAAGCACAAACTTTCATCATCCAACGAATTAAAATCACAATCATCAAAAGGATTAGAATCAACCTCATGTTTGAGAGTCAAACCTTTGCTCGATTTCTGTTTATCCCAACGTTTCAGATTCAGTTCCTTGGTTTAGAGAGAGCTAATGAGTTCATCAATGTCCATAGCATCCATATCTCGACATTCTTCAATGGTGGTGACCTTTGACACAAATCTCCAGAGTAGAGAGCAAAGCACTTTCCTAACAAGTTCAGTGTTAGTATATGTTCTTCCCAAAGCAAATATCACAAACTCTACCATAAAAATCAGTTATACTGTCATCATCATCCATGTTCAGATTTTCAAAAACAGTGATAAGTCTTCTTAGCCTATTTCTTTTAACAGCACTAGTTCCCTTATTCTTGACTTGAAGCCTATCCCAAGCATCCTTAGCAAGCTCACAATTAGCTATGACTTTCACTTGGTTCACGTTAACAGTATTAAAAAGTGCATGAATGGTTTTAGAGTTATAGTTTGCAAGAGTTAACTCATCAGCAGTCTAGGTAGCAACTAGTTTAGGTCTAGACACTTCATTTTCAACAACAACTCCAACCATTCACAACTGTGGACTAGACTCTTTCATCTATAAACTTAAGAAAAGCACACATCATCTTTCTAACAGAGGTGGTATATGAGCGGATCCTCCTTCAGTGAAGAAACTCATGATGAAAAACACAATAAGACAAATACTAACACAACAAACAGTAGTTCATACACAGAAACACAATAGATCAAAATTAATAATGCAACACTGATCAAATTTCGTCCAAACACAATACCACTTAGATGCACACAAAAACAACCAAAATGGGTAAGGATCAACTGAAGCAACTTATCAAGACGTGCTTTGATACCACTTGTTGGGGAGAGAGTTGTTGGTTAACTCACTTTAGAGACTGGTTACCCATTTTAAGTGTTGCGGAAGTATTACCAAGTTGATTAAGACATTTCCAATTTATCCACATCAAAGACAAGTGCGAAAAATAAAGAACATGGCCATATACATGGTTATGCTAAATCCACTTTTAGCCTACATCCATAAGACCTTATCTAGATCGAAGCAATCCACTAAGTTAAAACTACATTACAGGATGATGTTCAAAGTTAATCTAAGATACAATAAAAAGAACTCCTTGTTCAACTTTATACTTAGCACTACACTTTGAATCCTTAACATGTAAAAACTTCTTGGACCTTTTTCACGCCGGGAACACACCCGAGAACAGCTTGTGAACCACCAAGCTTCAAGCACTGATGACACGCACCGACATCAGCAAAGGAACCACGTTCCAAGAGCGATCAATACAATGTTTGATATGGTAAGGTTTTTGGCACAAAATGGAAATGAACCTATGAACCTTAAGAGAAAGAATACTCTAAGAAATTTCAGAGTATATTAAAATAAAAGATCAAAAGGTTAGATTCAAAGACGTAAGATGAGATGATATATAGTGTAGGGTTTCTTGCTCAACACATATGTCCCACGTTAGCCAATAAGGGGCTAACCCATGTTTGTCCAAATAAGGAAAATATTCATTCTTTTGGTTTGGACCACAAAGCAAATCGGGAAAAGAAACTTTATTCCCTAGGACCATTTAAAGATATTATGACACATGTAAAAATGTCTTAAAAGTAAGAAACAAAAATAAACAATATCTTTTCACTTTATCAAACATGCAACTCGTGTTGATTGCAAATGTCTGAAGTGAGAGTGTAAGCACAAACTGTTGTGCACACACACACTCGACATGAAACAAGCCAAGACACAAGTTTGGCAACCATTGTGCATGCAAAACTGATATGCACATATACGATAAAAGAAACTAGCCAAATCATAAGATTGGCAACCAGTGTGCACACAAAACTGATGTGCATACACAACTCATAAGTTTGACAAATATGAGTATTCCACAGTATACAAGATATTTTTTATGAAAGGATACAGGTACCCATGAAATATTCCAACTTAATATGGTTTTCATTTATAAGCATTGGCAATTTAACAAATAAATGAGAAAACGAAAACATGATTTAGGCATTTATACACAATTATAGTTGATTTGACTGTGTGTTTGATAAGGTTAATGAAACAATTGACAAGTACGTGTACAATATTTGAGCACTTGGCTACTCAACAAACATTCTCAGAGGCCTCGACAATAGCCGGAGGCAAAATCAAACTTCATCGGCAACGTTTGGTGCCTTAAAGGCCTATTCGTGAGAAGGAAATGGTGGGAAAGAAGAAATGGTTCAGATTTCAATTAAACAAAAAAAAAAAAAAAAACCTTCTTCAATAGTTGAAATATCAACAGTCAACACTACCTTAAGGCTCGTTATTACTATTTTGTAAAAAATAAATATTATTGTTTCTAAGTGGTATCTCAATTTTTTTAGCCCAATTGATGTATTATCTTATATGATTTTGATGGGTAAATAAAGAGTTGAGGTGTTAGATAACAACATGAGATAACACATTATTTGACATTTGAGAAGAGTAGTATTAAAACTCCAAGGGATTGGCCTAGCAGTCAAAGAGGTTTGCTTCATTCCTTGAGTTTCTAAGTTCAAACCTTAGAGTCACCTATCATAATAATATTGTGATTTATTTGGTCCTTTATGTTTATAGGGTGTTCAATAGACTTTGAGGCCTAGTCCTGGGTTTAAACTTTGAGATCATCTATCACAATAACATTGTAATTTACCTATTTCTTTGGGCTTATAGGGCGTTCAATGAATATTCGAGGATTAGTTGAGATATGTTATTTAGGCTTGTAAGATGTTCAATATGCACAAACGACCCAGACACGCCGGTTACCAAAAACAAAAAAGGAAGAGTAGCATTAGTCTATTTCCTAAACACACTTAAGTTTGTAAGGCATTATCGATACGGGTTATTTCTGTTGAAAAACACTATCCAGGTAAGTTACAGTCACTGCCTTCGAAGCCAGCCCAAAACAAAATTTTCGTTAAGGTTGAAATCCTGGGTTGACTCTTAAAACCCATGTTCGACACTTGTTACTAACTTGTTATCTTCAATTTTAGTGTTTAAAAGAGGGAACTTTTGGCGGGATTATTTATTTATTTTCTTAATAACTTTTCTATATAATGTCTATAATTAGATTCAAAATAGGGTTCAAATCTTTTGGAGACGAAAAGCATGGCGAGAAGTAGCAGAAGAAGCAACATAACCGGCATGGAAGAGAACACTCTAGCAATTCTCGAATCTACCGAAGCCAAAGACTCTCAAGACGCCAATGATGATAGTAAGCTTTCTTTTTCTATTTGTTTCCTGAGAAACCGTTGGAACTTAGGATTTTACTTATAATCATCAACTTTTTAATCACTATTTTCTTCGCGTATCGCAGGGATTGCTTTTCTTGAAGCTGTTCAAGCCGCTTCAATCATACCTGAAAATGGAACTGCTCCAACCTGGTAATTTCTTTCCCCTATGCTTGAAATAATAATAATTACTATACAAAATTGATTGCTTTATTCATTGTTTCTTTTTTTATTTTAATTTATGCTTAAATAATTGATTGATCGATAACTCCAATTTATTAGCAAAATGTACAGGGCAGTGTTTCAAATTCTGAGGATTGGGACATCTCTGGAATTGATGATGTCAAGTTATGAGCTTCTTAATGAGTTGGATAAGGTATTTTTGTTCTAATGTTTTATAAAAAAATTAATTCACTTTACATTTACACTTTCACAGTTTCACCTGTAACAAAATTCTGACTAATTCGCTTTACTCTCATGTTACTATTATTTATTATTATTTTTTTAAATTTTTTTTCTATAGCGTTTTCCTCGAGTGTATGTATCCGAAGCATCATCTGATGGCTCACATGAACTGGTTGTGGTTGACGAGGTATTACACCTTTTGTTTTTTTGTCTCTAGAAATAAATTGCACATTGCAGATATCTCAGCTGTCCCTGAATGGATTCCACGTGTATAAAAACTAGGTTTTGTAAAATTAACAAATACAATATCAATAATTCTGGGAATTAGAATCCTCGATGGTAGGTTATAGTTATAAGCTCTCTTTTTTATTACTTATATTGCAATTATTTGGTTGTGAGTTAGGCTTGGTCGCCATTTTTTCTTGGCTCAAATGTTGCTTGTAGTGAGAGGAAAGCAGGCGGAGAAATCTCTGGTGGCCCACTTGATTTTTCTGTGAGTTGTGCTGTGCTTTGTTTGAACTTACTAGTTTGTTTCTTCCATTACTTAATGGCATACTAGTTTTTCAAATCTCACCGTGTTCTTTAGTTTTATATGTGGAATTTGATTTCAGTAGCCGGAGTACTGCAATTTCAGCTTTCATAATTGTCTTTGTCAATTGCAGTGTTTTACTCTATTGATACAAGAGCTAGTTGAAGTAGCCAATGGAACAAAAGTTAAAGCTATAGACACAAAGGTCACTTAAATTTTCATACTTAGTGTAGTCTTCCACTCCCCTTAAATTGTAATAGTTTATGTGGTTATTTTACTCAAGAGTGGTTTTATTGTGTGTTTGATTCTACCCTGCCATGTTGCAGCACCTGAGGAATATGTTATTATTTCAATATCTTGTCAGCTTACTTGAGGGAGACTTTATACCTCGTAACATTGTGTATGAAGGTAAGTCAAATATCCATATTTTTTGTGCATATTAAATTTTTGGAAATTTTGAATAGCTTATTGTTATACTGCAGAAACAATCAACTGGGCCCTTCTTCGGGAGTCCTTGCTCAACATGCTTCTGGTATATGCTCATCATTCAAGCTTTGAGCCCTGCTAGAAATTATCTCTCTTTCATTACTGACATTGTCATCATTAAGTGATAGGTTACATCATGAGTATCCTGCTGTACATTATCTTCAAATTTAGATTTGTAGCTCTATGCCCCACAAATATTCTGTTATGTAAATTTGTTTTAAGATGTGAGATTGCTGAAGTCGCATTTATTTTACAGGGTTCAAGAAGAACAAATTATAAAAGTTTAATGAAGGATTGCTTGTCCATTTTATGTTGCCTTTGTCCGGCACATACTGGAGTCATTAGCGGTCATGGTTGTCCAGAGAACTCTTTCAGAAAGCCATCTGAAGATTGTAATACTCCTTTGGTGTTTGCTTTACTTGAAGTTGGAAAGAGTTCTTGTATAGCTATGCAGAAGCTTCTGATAATGGTAAATAACCATTGCTCCTTCAAAATGAATATTACTCACTTCCAGTTTAGGCTCTAATTTGACAAAACCTTATAGATTATGAAGCTTGACATATCAAAGAAGAAAGCAGACATGCAAGGTCTCACTACCAGAGCTGATGGTGTAAGGTATTTCATTTATGTGATTCAAGTCTTCTGCATATTTCTTTTAATTACTGAAACTTAGTGCATTTTGGATTTGGTGCAGAACCCCGTTGATGGATATTATTTTGGATGAGCTGACATATGATAGGGATATGCTTTCTCCATTTCTTCAGGTAGTCAGCTGAATGTACTTTTTTCTTAGTTCCATCTCTTTCTTTTGTGCGGGGTTGTTAGAAGATTATATATTTTCTCTTGAAATTCAAGAACAAAGTCTTCTGTTTGTAATTATGTGAACATTAATGTGTAACCTAATTTACATTCGCTTTCAGTTTCTGAAAACTTTCATAATTTGAAGTTTGTGGTTTTTTAATTTTTCTTTGGTTAATGAATGAGTGATCTGGAATGTTATCATTTTAGGATTTTCTTTTGCCAATTATGAGAATATTTTGCAGGTTTTCAGTGAACCAAAATGGAAGCTTGAAATAGTTGTGCAGTATTTCTTGAAATACACTACTACTAAGGCAAGTCAGTCGGTTGGCACTATTACACTATTTATATTGTCCCAGGTCTTTTGTTTTAGATAATTAGGATTTTCTTATACTTGATTTTACTTTATACTGCAGCCTTCTGTTTGCACGCGAAGATCAAATAGTCCCAAAGATGATGCAACATTCAAAGGCGTTTTAAATTGCTTTTCAAATAGCATCAGCACGAAAAACATTATGAAAAAGATCAGTACAGATATAGTTCAGTTGCTTTTGGCACATGCTTTTCAGGTGATTCTTTTTTTT